GCTGAGGGGAGCAGCGGGCGGGTCAGGAGAGGTCTGCCACGCCATGTGGTCACCTCCGGGGCAGGCGGGAATCGAACTCATTGGAGTGGCTTTAGCTTCTCGGTGCAGCACTTCAACCGGCCACCAGGGAGGGCCTCAAAGACCTTTTTTTTTTAATGTATTTTTTGGGAGCCAGTATTTTTATGACCAGAAAATTAGATCAAATTTTGCCTTCATTTATTTGTTGTATTGACAATATTTACAAGAAAACTGGGATTCCTCATGCCTCTGGACATACAATACTTTCTTTTCCAGAACTGAAATAAAGAGATATTTCCACAGATTACTGTCAGCCAAGGACAGAGATGGCCTCTCACTGGCTAAGAGAAGTCCCAATTGCCTATGATAACCTGATATTCAAAATATATGAAAAATCAAGTGCCAAAACTACATGATACAATTTGTGAAAATGAGGGGGGTACTTCTGAAATGGTGGAAGAAAGGCCTTCAGATATCACCATGAAAGATAGGAAAATGCAAGCAAAAACTGCAAAGACCCAGTTTCTTAAAACTCTTAAATTAGAGATACAGTAACAAGCCAAGGAGTATTTTTCCAAGAAAAACAGCCAAATTGCACCAAGAGCAGCAAGCATTGTATCATTTTAACTTGCCCTAATCTCATCCCCCTCAGGTCCACAATAGCTTGAAAACCAAATCTTAACAAGTATAGTAGTTGTGAAAAACAGCAGTCTAGCAGCCACTGGAGGAGTAAAATACAGGGTTCACCAAAAGCTCCATCTCTAGAGAACTGCCATGACCTTCCTAGCATCTTGTTTTGGGTTGGTTTTTTTATCTGACCTGACTCAGCTTACGCTGTGCAAATAGCCCTACCCCCCATGGCATTTTCCAGAAGCAATCAGCAGCAATTGCTTAGCAACACAACTGCCTAACGTGGGATTAGCAGTTAGAACTGAACAAAGACTAAACACAAAAACTTCTGTTAAAAAGTAGGGATGGGGGCCCTCCCTGGTGGCGCAGCGGGTTAAAGCACAGCACTGAGAAT